TGATGGTTAATTATTTTTATGTCGTAAAAAATTAATGAGAAAAACTTAAAAAATGAAGATATGTATTTATTTTTTATATATATATATATCTCTCTCTCTAAAATTAAATATAAATATACACATTGAAATATTTATACCATATTAGTGATATACATATTAATTTTATTTCGACTATCATTTATGCCTTGTCATCTTGGGCCCCAAATAAAATTTTATGGCTTCACCTTTGTTAATAAACGCTCAGCGTGCTTGAGACTCAAGCAATCTTGAAGATTTTTACCAAACTTCAAATCAAGTGAAAGTAGGCTTTTGGAGCTTCTTGCCGTGATTTTTCAAAGGGCTAAGGGCTATTTTCATTCTTAAACTATACATGAAATATCACAAATACTCTTAAATTTAACTATAGGTCAATTGTATCATTCAACTTTAAAGATTCACTCTTTTATCATCCTAACATTGAAAACACTTAACATCTGTTGTTTATGAGCACGTTCTACTAGTTTTTAAATATTTGTTATCAGGTTAAAGGTCATTTTAGGCCTCAACTCAAATATTTTATAATAAAAAATATTAAAAAATATAATGTAGAGTCCACTAATGATCAACTAATGATAAGAAAACTGCATGATGATAAGGGAGGAATTTTTTTAAAGTTAAGAGATATAATTGACCCACAATTAAGTTTAAAGGCATATATGACCTTTCGTGTATAATTCAAAAATAAAAATGACCCTTAATCCCTTTTTAAATGCTAAGATGTGAGTTAAGTAAAATACATTGTTAACATATAATGGAATGTTGACGGACGAAATGCATAATTGAACTAGGCTAGCCATGATAGGGTGTGTTTGAATTTTAGATGGAAATTTAAGTCTCCTATTAGTTAATGTGTAAAATTGTTCCAAGAGATTAATTTTGAATATAATTAAAAAATAGGGTGTGTTTGAATTTTAGATGGAAATTTAAGTCTCCTATTAGTTAATGTGTAAAATTGTCCTAAGAGATTAATTTTGAATATAATTAAAAAAAATCTTCACCCAACAAAAAAAAAAACATCATTAAAAATCAATCAAAATCATGGTTCCAGGATCCAAGATTTCCTGCTACATGTCAAGATTAATCAATCATAGATAAAAAAAACATGCAAAGATTAATTATGAACTTAAAATTATATTAAAAAAATCAAACACCAGTATATAGATGTCAAAATTAATTGTGAACCCAATACCATGTTTTATAAAATGAAGTTTGTGTGGCTTTTAGACAAAATTTTAGGAAAATATACTTGGAAACTAAGTTGAAAAAAGCATATAATAATATCTCATGAGATAGCTGGGATTTTGTGTTTATATTTGATTTTGTCTTATACAGGTATTTGAATTTTTAAAAAATCATAGTTTTTGGTTTATAACTAATTCTATTATGTAAAAGTGGTGTTGAATATTAAAAAAAAAAAACCCACGATCGCAAATTCATGATTAATTTTAGTATGTAATATATATATTTAGATTTTTTTTTTCAAAATCATAGTTTTACCAAATTTTTAGTTCTACCTTTTCAATTGTAGACAGGATCGAACTTATAAATTAAATTTATAATTAAATTACATGGATAGTTGAATACGCATGATTATTGATTAATAACTACTTTTTGGGCGTATAATAACAATATGGAAAAAGCTTACATATTTAGTCTTACAATACATTTAATATGATTGTTTTTAATTAAATCAATATATATTAATCTTTTATAGATTATTTAATTTTTAACAAACTTTTGTTATTGACACATTAAATTCTTACTATCAGCCAAGTCTGTCAATATTGATCGCAAATGCGGGTGGGTCGTGCTTACCTTCATCTCGAGGCTACGTGTCTTGATTTGTTTACTTGGCTGTTGTTCTGGCCTAACCTTTTTTTTTTTTTTGGACGGAAGTTCTGGCCTAACGTCTGACTTCGTGAATGTTAAGTCTCTCTAGATTGCAAATTCATCTGCCTGTCCATCTATTGTCTAAGATAAAATGACCTCTTGAGAAGTCCCAGCTACATCACTTGGAAGGGAATTGAATCACAACTAAATTTTTTCAAATCTAATAAAATTTTAAAAGTATTAAAATGCAAATTTAATTCAGAAAATTACAAATGTACCTGTCATTTTATATGCCACAATTGGCTAAACCCGGAATCAAACTAATCAATCAGCAGATGAATTTGATACGCTTAAATTTTATATGCCATAATAATTGGCCTAACTGTGTCGTGAAATCAGTTAATCAATTAACCAATCGAAAGATTTGACATATTTGTTTGATTATTTTATTCTTATTAATATTGCAATACTAAATGGAATCAGCCAGGGCATACTGGGATCATACCACTCAAACGAACGCATTCAAAAAGTATCACGAAACTGAAATGCGAGGGGCACTTGGACGCGAAACCGAAAGTCGCGTGCGTCCCAGGTCAATGCAGGGGTTATTTTAAAACTAACAAATCATTACGGGAAAGAAACCTAAGCTCCCTTGCTTGCAAACTCGTACCTTTAATACACAAACAACTGACTTGACAGTGACGTTGTGATAAAAAGTCAGCAAAAATTAGAAGATGCTTGATTTGATATACTTTCGAACTGTTAACTTTTTTTTTTTCTCAATCACAAGGCTTATTGCATCCTCATTTTTTCCCCAAGTAGAAGGGTCTCGCGTAAATTATACAGACTTTAAAAGTAAACCAACGGACTTTGTTATTAATTTTAGAAAAAATTAATTTTTTTAATCCCTTAATTTTTAATTCACTCATGACTCAATCCCTCAACTATAATTTATTATGACGCAATCTCTCAACTTTTAAATCACCTATAATTTAATTCCTTAACTTTTGACTTGTCTATGATTCAGTCTTTTGATTTTTATTAATTTTCTTTTTTCATGTTAATTTATGTCTCACATCAAACAACAAGATGAGGATAAGGATTTTAAAGCAAGATATAAATATTTATTTTATCTCTCTTATTTCATAAGAATAATTTTTTAAAAAATTTTAAAAAATAGGGATTAAGTTATAAGTTAATAAAAAATTAAGAGACTAAATTACAGTGAATCATAATTGAGTGATTAAGTTATAAGTGAGTTAAAAGTTAAAAATTTAATTTTCTCGCTAAGAAATTGTACGAAGCCCAGAATAGTATTTTGATAAAGCCCAAGTTGGCTTTGCAAAATGTCAAATTATTTCCGGACGCTTGAATTATCTGTGGTCCTCCAGATATATTCTACTATTTTTCTGCAAAAATTATAATCTGCCCCTCAAATTTTTGAAAATTACAATGTCCTCTGCACTTTTTCTAGCTCCATCCCTGTTCATCGGGGTTGTCAGAAATATGTTCAAATCATCTGTATTTGTATTTGCTCACATGCTTTAGTTATGACTGAGCTTTATACCTTAATTTCATCAGAAACCTTGCAAAAGAATGAGGTGCACAAATCGATAAATTACAGGTTTTGGCGATTCTTTTATCATAATTTCCCTGTCTGCTTGCTAGGGCTAAAGCCTAATTTAAAATAAACGAGTATGTTAAGAATTTAAAGAGTGAAAGTAGCTAATAATCTAGTTTTTAATGCATGACATGACATTATAGGACTAGTAAAACGTCAAAAAAATTTGCACAGAACTAAAAAAAAGACAGGGTTGAGTGAGAAGAGAGCAAACCAGGGAGAATTACAATCAAATTTCACCTAAAAAATTAATTATTATAAAGTTAATTGATAATTGAACTAAAAACTTTTTTTAGGTGGGATCTTTAATGTAATTCTTCCAAAAAACTAATGCTTTGCTTCTGTTTTGGGCAGATGTCGTTTTGCTATGTCTATTGGCACAACTTGACCGATTTCTAGCTTCCTATTAACCAAACATTAGCCATTTCTTCTCAAATGTGTATCCAATTTTCCCTCACTCTCTTTGACAAAATTGTTGCGCCCAACTTCTTCTTCCATACTGATTCGCGACCGCTTCTTGGTAGAGCCAGGAAACCATTTTTTCAAGCTTATAAATTCAGTTACTTTAAAATCAATCACTTTCAAAAATTCATTTCTTATTTAAAGGGATTAGAATCAGTCCCGAATGCTCTTTTTATTATTTATTTTTTTTAATTTTTAGAAATTAAAACCTTCAATTACAGTGTTTTATATTTTTTAAATACAAAATATAATGTTTAAAAATTAAAAATAAATAATAGAACTAACTTTTAATTTTAAAATATAAACATATAATTTAAACTTTAAATTCAATTTAAGAGTTGAAAATATTTTATTTTTGGAGGATAAAATAAAAACAAATTTAAAAAGATCACTTGAATCTGAACCCATTTTAAGAGCCTATTAGAGTCAGAATTTGAAGCTTAATTTTTTTAAAAAATGTCATTTTTTTAAAAAAATTCAAGCCCTTATAAAAACAAGTTTAATAAGCAACCTGACATTATTGGCTCTACTTATTAGGAAACTTCATGATTCCCATGTTAGTGATGTTCTAAAGTCTATCTTCATTTTTTTAATAAAAAATTATACAGAAAAAGCTTAATATTAAATGAGAAAATTAATCATCTAACCTTTGTACTTATGGCTTGATCATAACTTAATCCTTCAACTCTACCTCAATACAACTTAATCTTTATAGTTTGATTTAGTTGTGGCTCCACTTTTAAAGTTTAACTTAATATAACTCTATTCTTATAATTTTAACCATTTAAAACATTAGTACTAAGCTTTAATAATAATCTTACTCTTTATAATTTATCTTTTAAAATGCAGGGACCAACATTTTAAATTGATAAAATTATAAAGATTGAGTTATAATAATCAAAGTTTATTTATTGAATTTTAACTAAATGAAAACTATAAAGATCAAGTTATGTTGAATAAAAGTTTATGAATTAAGTTTTAACCGAATACACTATAACAATCAAATAATTAATTTTTGCATGCTAAATTCATCTATAGAAAGCAAAACTAACATGAAGGATAACATTCTTTTTGTGATATATCTGCAAATTTAGTACAATTTCAGCAGAAATTTTAAGATATAATATTTTCTAATATTAGGTTTGAGGTCTTGCCTGAACCACAAAAATTGTCCCGGCTTTAACCACTCCTTCAATGTCTTGAGGGCAGCCGTAAAGGCCCTCTGTGATTTTTCCTGTCTCTGCAATTCTCGACAAGAGTAATGTTTGAAAAGTTTTATCAACTATAATTGGATCTCTGGAGTAGTCTAATACAACTTTCTCTACTTTGTCTATTATCACACTGCAAAAATTTGAGCAGGCATTTGGATGGTGTGCCATCCAAGCAATCATAAAATGTAGTTACACAAGGAAGAGATTTCGCAGCATACGACGAAAAAAGTTGTATCCAAAGAAACTTTTCTAGGATCGCCCATAACTTCTAACGCATGCAGCATAGAACCATTACAGCATAAATCCAAGAAATTTTTGCAAGCCTTAATATTTAGTAACCCTGTGATACCACCTTGAATTTCGGTTTTCCACAGTTCCTTCATGACTTACCAGAATCTCCTACATCACTTCATAATAAAAATTTGGTATTCTGGATCTCATTGAACTACCACTATAATTTGCCTTTCCATATTACACAGGTCATGCATACTGCATCGCAGATTCGCAGTCTAACCAGCCAGAACCAACAATTCAAATTCTGTATCTCTACATAACAGAGTATTTGGCTTAAAATTGGTGGTATTCAAATGCTTAGTATCCAGCCATAATTCAATTATATTACAATGTACTGTAACACAATTTTTATGTCATTAAAGAATGAGCTACATATTTTACCTGTAAAAAATGCCAGCACCTGAAAATCCTTCAAAGTCCTCGGCATTAGAGTCCGATCTGAATATAATGGACTTCTTACTGTACGACCCTGTCAGCTTGCTTGGGAAACAAGTAACCTACAATAAAATCCATCACTTCTTTAACTGGTAGAAAAAAGACCCTGACACACTTTAATACTTTAATTTGATGAGCGGCCATCTCCAAACTACTGACGTTCAAATCAATTGAGCGTGATACAACTTAATGGGGGTGAAATTTAACACATGGCCATGAAGAGAAATTGACACTACCATAGGAGGCTTCAGATTAGTTTTCTTTGCAGTGAAAGTCATCGCACGTCCTGGATATGCCCCCACCAAACTCTCTCCCAAGCCCTTCACAATCTGTTTTTGCACCAAATAAGGATACAGGAAGAAACATATTTTCCTTGACCTGTCAATAAACCAGGAAGCAAGATTTACCTCTGCATATATCTCTGTGGCATCCCTTGATATGGGATTCTTTGTATGAATCACAAAAGCATAATCGCCACAAATTACTTCTTGAATTAATACAGCCATGCATATATTGTCATGATTTAACTTGGCCTTTTGGCAACAAAGAAAAGCTCTTTCATTCCACTTTGAAGCCCAAACCTGAAAATGACATGAATTTTACACAGTTTTGTCTATTGCTAATAAATATTCAGTGCTTGTGAAACAGGCTAATGATATTTTGTTGAGAAGCAGCCGGATTCCTTATATATGTAAACCATCCGATGTCCAACTATACAACAAAGTAACTAAAACAATCAAACATTTAGGCATAATTATGTGCAAGTCAGCCGTGATTGAACATTGTTGACATGGAAATTATGCAACCAATATGGTCCCCGAAGGAACTCAAATGAAAACTGTAACACTTATTAAAGTGAAAGAAAAAAACAATAATACGACAGAAAGATAAATGAAAGGATAATGCACAATTTGAAAACAAAATTTAATAAACAATTATATCATATTTATGATGACAATTTGTTACCTGCTTTATTGCTTGCCATGAACAACTCCACCTCTCTTCATCTTCATTACCTGGCGATGTTAACCTTGAACTTCTCATTTTGCACTTAAGTTCGTTTGTCTGCCAAAATTTGGTTTTATTTTGTTGACTTGTTAAATCCGAATAGATTGTTGTTAATTTTAAATAAATTATTTTAAAAACTTAAATATATATTTATTGATGAATAATTAACACATATAATGAAACTCATTTTATCAATTTTTTTAACTTGTAAAAATTAGAATAGATTGTTGTTAATTTTAAATGAATTGTTGTGAAAACTTAAACGTATACTTATTAGTGAATAACTAGCACTTTTATAATTAAATTTATTTTATTCATTTTTTAAACTTGTTAAAACTCGAATGGAGTATTAACTTTAAATGAGTTATTTTAAAAAACTTAAATAAATACGTATTAATCAAGTATTAACATTTATAATTATACTCATTCTATTCATTTTTATAGTTTGTTTAATCTCGATAGATTGTTGTTAATTTTAATTGAATTGTTAAAACTTAAATAGATATTTGATAATAACAAACTAACATGTACAATTATATTTATCTTATCTGTTTTTTGAATTTATTAAAAAATAAATAAAATGTTAGTAATTTTAAATAAATTATTATTAAAATTTAAATAAATACTTGATGGCAGACCAACAATCCAATAAATTGACCAATTATTTGGTCTAGTTGTCTATTTCAAAGTGGCCTTAACTGACTCAAGTTAACTAGGATGATTAAGAATTAACTCGAATTAATCAGCCCAACATCTCAATTAGGGTTTGAAATTTTCTTTTTTCAAATTTTTAGGGTCAGAAAGAAAAAAAAAAAAACAGAAGCCCTTGACTAATGAACCTCTTCTCCATCTTTGACTTCGGACTTGGGCATCTTCTCTCCACTGCCCTGTCTTCGTTTTCTTCTCCGTCCCCTCCATCGTGTCGTCGGCCATCTTCTCCGTCTCGCTATCCTCAACCGTCCCTAAGCAGTGAGCTTCAAGCAGCTGCTCGTGGGTCTTGACTAAATTAGAGGCTCAGATCAAATGACCTTCTTCACTTCTCTGCCTTGCTCTTAGTCTCACGCTCACCTTCACGACTGTCGCCATCGAGTCTCCTGTTCTCCCTTTCCCTCAGTGGCAGTGCTGCTCATCTCTGCTACCTGGTTCCTTTCTCTTCTCAGCGTTCTCAATCGTCGACCCCTGACCCACAGTGTGTAAGTGGATTCTCTTCTCGGGCATTCACAACATTCTCAATATAAAGGTGGAGGGATGGAAAAGGGGATAAAGAAATGGCGTGTGAATGAGGGAGAATGAAATGAAGCAAGAAGAGCGACGGTCGAGAATGATGAAGAAAGAGAGGAGAGAGAGAAAAGTAAATGATGGAGTAGGTGAAAAGAAAGAGAAGGGGAGTGGTTACTGTTGGGTAAAAGGAGGTAGTTAAAATTAGGTCGAGATACTGCCACGTTACTTGTAATTCACGTGGCTCTCTTTAACTTTTCATTTGGCTTTGGTTACTCAATTTTGCTTACTTGAACAGAAAACCTTGATTTGACAAGAAATATTCATATTACATTTTATTGTTGCTGTTGCTGCTGTCGCCCTGTATGATGGAGGGGCTGTTTTTTTTTTTTCACATTTAAAAATAAAATTTTATTTTTAAAAAATTAAAAATTATTTGGGTAAAATATTTTACAGGAAAGTACATTTTAAAAGTATATTCAAACAGTAGTTGAAAGTAAATTTTTGAAACATAACTATTTAAAACTTTTAAAAAGTGAATTTAAAAAATAGGATGTTATTTGACTATACTACCCTAAGTTTAATCTTTTATTTTTTATTTAAAAACTAATTAATTCATTAAAAATATAATTATTATTTTAATAATAATAATTAGGTATCAATTTTTTTAGTATTATAAATTAAGTAATTAATCATGTTAATTTTTAGCATTAATGTATAATAAAAATTACAAATCTTTATTACATCTTTTAAAATTATAAATTAAAAAATACAAATAATTAGAGATCAAATTTTTAGCATTATTGATCAAAATTTATGTTATTTATAATCTTTATTACATTTTTTAAATATTTTAAATATATTACATTTGTATAATAAAAATTATAAATCATTATAAATCAATGTCCTTTTTAGTAATTGTACATTCAAAAGTATATTTTACTATCACAAATCAAACAACTTTTAATGTATCAAACTGACTTTTGAAAAAATATATCCAAACATAAATTTCGTTACAACAATTGATTTTTATTAAATTGACTTTCACCAAATGAATTTTTGACAAATTGAAAACTAAATACACACAGAGTGGTATGAGACCAAACAAATCGTCGGTAGTACGTTGTCTGATATATATGAAAGACTCTTGAAAAATTAATGTGCTTTTATTTACATTATATTATTTTATTATAATCAGTTTGCCTCTCAGTTGAACTCCTGGCCTCTAATCTTGACAATTCAATAATCGATTTGATTTTCAATATCTTGATAAAAACACAGGTTTAATAGAACAGCTACATGAATAACAAGTCATTCAAACTTTAACAATAATTTATGCTAAATTAGCAACAATCCATTTAGATTTTAATGAGTTAGAAAAATATATAAGATGTGCATAGTTATATGTGTTAATTTTTCATCAACAAGTATTTATTCAAATTTTAATAGCAACTCATTTTAAATTAACAACAGTCCATTTTAGAAAACGAATAGGATGGATATAATTGTATATGTTAGTCTTTCATCAACAAACATCTATTCGGATTTTAACAATGACTCATTAAAGTTAGCGACAATCCATCTAAGCTTTAACAAATTAGAAAAACAGATAAGATGGGGTTAATTGTGCAAGTAGTAGTTCTTCATTAATAAGTATATATTTAGGTTTTTACAATAATTCACTTGAAATTAACAACAAGCTATTTTAGTTTTAACAAGTTAAAAAAATTGATAAGATATGTTTAATTGTATATGCTAGTCCTTAATCAACGAGTATATATTTAAATTTTTACAACAATTTATTTAAAATTAACAACAATCTATTTAAGTTTTAACAAATTTAAAAAAAGTAATAAAATATGTTCAGTTATACATGTTAGTCCTTCATTAATTAATATTTATTCGAATTCTGACAATAACTCATTCGTGACTAACAACAATACATTTAAACTTTTAACAATCAAAATATATAAAGTTTTAAAGTTCTTAATTTATAACTGTTCGTGTTATATTAACAAGTAATATCAATGAAATAACAAGTGTTGTTCATGAATTAACAATACGCTTTTGTGTTATAACATAAAAGTGATTGGAAGCTTGGTTTACTACTTTTTTTTTTGCATATATACAAGATTTTTAAGTGGCCAAGTATTATCGGTGCCGGAGCTTTAGTGATTGGCGGCCGGCACGAGTGATAGTATGGGGTGGCTTTTTTTATTTTATTTTAAACTTTAGGGGTAATTTAGTTATTTTATGTAAAAAATTAATATAAATCAAGAACTAAGGGATTGTAGTATAATTTCAAAATCTATTGGTTATTGACTAACATAAATTTCATCCAATTATCCTTGGCTAATATTTTCTCTTTATTAAATTTATAAGTTGTACTATTTTAAAAATTGCAGCTTATGTTGTGTAATATATGGGATTTACTTTTCTGGACCCAACTCAATAAAAAAATATAATTTTAATAAAAATAATGCGTTCTTTTAATTAACCATTATGAAAAAAAAATCCGAGTTTTTTATATTAATAGCGCAACTTATAAATCCAATAAATATATAAAAATTTAAATGATATTTAATATGCATAGTTTTTACTTAGTATGATTTATATTAAGATGGATATAATGATAAATCAATTATATTTTATATTATGGTAAAAAAATTATATTTTATATTGATATAGTATTATATCGATATGAACGAGAGAAGAATCCAGAGGGACGGACCCGTATTCTCATCATCTCATCTATCCCATCAACAGTGACGGAAGACGAGGAAATGAAGAACTATACATATTTTCCGGTAACTGCTTATGTTAAAAACCAGGGACTGAATCAAATACTGTAGCAGGAGCAGGGTCACACGAGTTCCTGAAGTACAAGAAACCGCTCAAAAGCTCATGCGATGGAAGGAAAATATAGAGAATGGTCCATGAGTGAATACATGTATCAAACACCAATGCCCCGCACGGAAAAGCTTAGGAGTGGAAGTGCATGAGAACAAAGGATGTCAGTGGCAAGTATTAAAAGCATCGGTGACGTCGAGATCACCGCTTTGGCTGAAGAGCTAGCCTAAAAGCTCGCCCACATCTGTGTTTTTTTTTTTTTTTTGGTCTTGTGATGCTTATCACGAGACCCTCCCCATTCTTTATAATCTTCTCCTCGATTATTACAACGAGACTCAGATTCTTGTGGAATATGGGAGGAACATGAACAGAATGTGCATATATCTTCTCCGTCTTACTTCCTCTCCTGTTTTATGTTTCTCGAGTCTTGACAACTGGATTTAAAAGATATAGAGACCGCTCTTCAACGTGGCGTTTCGGAATTCATGTGTTTATTTAGTGTTCAGAGACTGCTAATCTGTAGACAACTTCGCCTCCTAAACCACGAAGTCCACGAGATAAATGGATTCATGTATTAATTGATGATCAAAAAAGAAAAAAGTGAAAAGTAGATTCATCTAATACCCATTGAGTATTCTCACTGTAACATCAAACTCCTAAAGATGTCAAGGTTGATGGCATAAAATCTTAAACGTCCCATAATTGCAAGTACTTGATACAATTTAGACCATCCGCGACAAGGGATTTTCCATCATTCCCATAAATAGCACCAGCGGGTGACGGAACTTGCTGACAAGGAGGCGGACGACTACTGCGAAAGCAACTTCGAGTCACATGCCACTATTTTAACCCGTCCCACATGCTCTAGGCAATCTTCATTCTTAAACTTAGCATCTTGTAGAATGAAGGTCCAAACATTGTCACAGAATCTGTAAGTATGTAGATGGCCCTGCATTCGCAAAATTAATAAGAGAGAGAATCCAGCTTAGATTTCACTAGTATGCCCGATGACCAAATTAATGAACTGCAAAATAGAATATATGAAGTTCTGCTATAGCCAGGAGCAATTTAAAAAATAAAAATAAATTCAGTGGAGCACGGTGAAAGAAAAAGGGAGGTTTATGCTATTAATATCTTGACTTCCTCTAAATTAATTGTTTAACAAACTGTTGCTAAACACAAGAAATATAAATAAGCAGTCACTAGTCGAATCAACATCAGAATCTTGCTATTGTAACATGTATTCAACAACTCCCAAGCTTGTCTTGAAAATCAATGCTACCACATCATTTTTAAAATTGAATGTATTGCATAGTAATCCCATAACACATGTATGGGCAAATAAATAATATAGACATCCCCATTCATAATTTCATATCCATCAAAGAATTGCATTGCATAAATTACCGCCGGCAGTTAGGTTGAGTGATAAGAGACTCAACACTCCTCAGGTAAGATCTCAAGTTTGAGCCTTGTAGATGGAGGGGGAACCACATTGAGAGAACTCCCCCTTAATTGGGGTCTAACCTGGCACAAATATGAATTGATTGAAAGTTTCGCATATTGGATGGTTTGCTTCCCAAGAGAGGGAGAGTTGCATAAATCACACACCCAAAATCTTGGCCTTCTAGTGCCTGCCAAAACCTTTAGAACGTCTAATAGGAAATAGCTCCAAGGTTAAAGGATACGCCCATGATAGATTTTATCCATTACCGGCCACTTTTATATGAAATCAGAAGATTCCATTCGGTATGATTAACCTCTTTTAGAACTGTTATATAGCTGGCAGCCTGGCACGTGAAGCAAGGGCATACAATTCTTTCATTTATTGATATTTAAAAAGAAAAGGTTAAAAAGGGAATGATAGAGAAGGAACTTGAATCAACTAGAGGAAAATGGGCTGTTATTAATCATTTTATTATCCTCACTATACTAGAAACGGAAAAGTATTAAAGAGGAAACCACTCAATAAGCAAACCATAATAAAAAGATTGTGGCTCCCAAGGATGTCAACGAGAAGCAGATTACATACATAACTACAAACAAAAACGGCGAAACTTTGTGCTGAAATAGAAATGTAGATCTATATATGGGCAACTTATGGGTGGATAAATATCAATACACCCACTCAACTTTAAATGTCAACTAGAGGAACCCTAATGTCTGACCATTGAATTCAAAAAATGATTGCACACGTAATTCTTCCTAATGCCAACTTTTAAGACCACACAAGGCTACACTCAAGAAAACAAATACACATTCATGCAAAGGAAGGTTCACACGGAAACCAAAAGATGTAAAAGTCCTCCTCAAAGAGAACATCAGGAAAAGGAAGCTCCCTACTCATCAACTTAGGCAGGATTCTACAAATCAAGTGTTGACAATTCTATCATTAACATCATGAAAATTGGACTTAAATGATTAAAACTAAACTGTTTGAATTTGAATATAAATCACCATCGAATGGTGTCACTGCAATTCAACTCTATCAAAGTACTTCCAATTCTAACTGGGACTAACGCTGTTAGTTACCATGATTAATATGTATTCAATTCTTAACAACTCTAAATGAAATGAAATCCCGCTAATGCTCACAGGTTTTTATTGTAGTTCCAACGTCCCCTTCAGTCCAAAGTACCTAGCTCAAAAGGGGGGGGATCACCTTTAAAGGCAGTTTAGCGAAAATTCAGGGCAAATCTGTATTGATTGACACCATTGAACCAAGAATTTCTAAATACAAGATGAAAGGATTAGCAGTATGGTTAACTCATTCCTCAACTCCACTAACAATCTGCAAATAAATTCCAGAGGACGTTATGAACAAGTCGCATAAGCATATGAGGCAAGTAATACGCCAGTAGCAAATTCCTTGAAACAAGTTACGACTACTTTGCCCCATTATCTGCTATAACGCAAAGTGTGATTTCTTACATGGAATTGAACGCTTCAAAAGAAAAATCGAGGGAAAACATTGTTACCTTAATTGAGACTTTGCTCTTAACATCAGTTTCCAGAGCTTCTGTCATAGACTAGCAATCCACATGACATAAGAATAAATGTCAAAAGAAACTCTAAATTAAAATTTCAGATTATGCATACATACAAAAAATGAAGAAAGGCAATCAAACTGGACTCCTTCTCAAAGTACCTTGTCGAACTGGACAAGGACCTGAATAGCGATCTCAGGGCTAAGAGTACCATTCTGAACCATCTCATCCAAAGTCTCAGTAAGGCACATTCCAATCGTCGACCTCCGGTACAGTTCGAACGTCGCCATTCTTGCTTGCTGAGTGCGATCTACGTCAATGGTAAACACTGGATAAGATACTATCAACAATATACGGAAAAACTTGCGTACAATAATTGATTAAATTGAAGCGAAGCGAGAATAAGCAAAAGGATTTATAAGAAAATGAAAATAGTGAAGATCTAGGATGGAAATTCATATTACGAATCGGGTGGCGACGTTGCGAGCAACTCTTTCCTCTCTTTCTGCTGCTGCTTTTCTCGTTAACGTTTGGCTCGATAACGTTTGGGAGCAAAGTCAGCGAACAAATTTGGGGCTATTTATACCCTAGAATTTGGAGCTGAGGTATATATAGTGCGAGGGTAGAGAATGAGATGCAATGACGTTTATCTCCTCGCATACGGCCTTTCATTTTTCCACCTTTTTTATTGCAAAAATTATGTTAAAAGTCCCCACAAAAAAATTTAATTATCACAACCCTTAATTGAATTGTTAATGAATTTTATGATCATTATTTTTTTATATAGGATTTGTATGTAATTTTTTTTTATTTCATCTCACATCACGTGACAACCAATAAATGATCAACCTTTTTTTTTTAATTTGACAATTTCTCGTATGTTATATGGGTTAAAATTAAAAACTTTAAGATAAATATTATTAGTATTATTAATATTGACACATTTAAGATGGTTAAATTTTTTAAAATTTATTTATTCAATTATTTTTTTTCTTGAATACTTTATTTGTATACATTTTATCTTTATTTCTCGAACTTATAATGAAAAACTAATTAGAAAATACATGTTCTTATAGTGTTTAGAGAATATTAGCTCGAAATAAATCTTTTTTAAAATTTTCAATAGCCCCTCATTTTTTATTACATAAAAAAAATTAGACATTGGTTTATAAATTATGACATAAATTATATTTTCATAACTATGGAAAAAGAGAGAATTCAAAGGAATCCCTCTCTTTTTTTTTTTACTGTCTTCAATTCTTCTTCTTATCTTGTCAGTGCGGAATATATGGTGAAATATCAACAGTTTGCAAGGCTAAGACCACGGGATAATAATTGATGATTTAAATCAAACTTAAACATCTTTTTATTTTCTTTTTAAGAAAATGTTTATGGATGATAGTTGATGAAAGTTTATTAATATTGAGTACAATGAATCAGGAAAATATATGAAAAATAAGAAAAAAAAATTAAATCTCATTGATCAAAGAATTGTAAAGGCATAAGAAAGTACATCAAATGCGGAAGGATGATCGGATGAAGTTAATGCTAGTGATTACATAAATTTGAAAATGGGACTACTTTTAAATCAATATTCCCGTGAAAATGAACTGAAAATACATGGAGAATAGAAAAATAAATTAAATCTCATTAATCAGAAAAATTGAAAAGGTATGAAAAAGTATAACGAACAGAGAAAGAAAGCCAAATGGAGTTAATGCTAATAATAAGAAAAATTTAAAAATAAAATTACTTTTGAATCAATGCTCCCTTAAAAGTAAACTAAAAATACATGAAAAATAAAAAAATAAATGAAATCTTATTAATGAATTGAGAGAAATTTTCATATTAATATTAGCCTAAAATTTGTTAATCAATGAGAGTCATTTTTTTTAAATGAGGCTACTCTTGAATCAATGCTTCTATTAAAGTAAATTAAAAATACATAAAAAATAAAAAATTAAATTAAATCTCATTAAATACTCCTGTAAAAGTAGACTGAAAATACATGAAAAATAAAAAATAAATTAAATCTCATTAGTGAATTAAGAGAAATTTTCATATTAATATTAACATAAAATCTATTAATCAATGAGAATCAATTTTTTTGACCAATCAAATTAAAGCTACAATATTTGTGTGTGTATATATTGATATTAATGATATCATTTAAGGACCTTCTAGTGTTTTAAGTGTAAAGAAGGGTCTTAAAAAGTTGAAATATCACTTCACCTTTGACACCTATATGAAAATACCTAATTACTCTTGTAGTGTTTTGCAGATCTTGTTCCGATATAAATAATAAAACATTCGACAATGCAATTAACAAACAGATATTCAATCATAAATAAGCTACAAAAACTATTAGGCTTTGTTTAACTTTACAAGTCTTGCTCTAATATAAACAATAAAACATCTAGTTATTAACAATTTACCATACATGACTAACAAAGTGACATTGGTTCATCAATAAGTTAAAAAAATTAATAAAATTAACAATATACCCTAGAATTTGGAGCTGAGGTATATATAGTGCGAGGGTAGAGAATGAGATGCAATGACGTTTATCTCCTCGCATACGGCCTTTCATTTTTCCACCTTTTTTATTGCAAAAATTATGTTAAAAGTCCCCACAAAAAAATTTAATTATCACAACCCTTAATTGAATTGTTAATGAATTTTATGATCATTATTTTTTATATAGGATTTGTATGTAATTTTTTTTTATTTCATCTCACATCACGTGACAACCAATAAATGATCAACCTTTTTTTTTTAATTTGACAATTTCTCGTATGTTATATGGGTTAAAATTAAAAACTTTAAGATAAATATTATTAGTATTATTAATATTGACACATTTAAGATGGTTAAATTTTTTAAAATTTATTTATTCAATTATTTTTTTTCTTGAATACTTTATTTGTATACATTTTATCTTTATTTCTCGAACTTATAATGAAAAACTAATTAGAAAATACATGTTCTTATAGTGTTTAGAGAATATTAGCTCGAAATAAATCTTTTTTAAAATTTTCAATAGCCCCTCATTTTTTATTACATAAAAAAAATTAGACATTGGTTTATAAATTATGACATAAATTATATTTTCATAACTATGGAAAAAGAGAGAATTCAAAGGAATCCCTCTCTTTTTTTTTTTACTGTCTTCAATTCTTCTTCTTATCTTGTCAGTGCGGAATATATGGTGAAATATCAACAGTTTGCAAGGCTAAGACCACGGGATAATAATTGATGATTTAAATCAAACTTAAACATCTTTTTATTTTCTTTTTAAGAAAATGTTTATGGATGATAGTTGATGAAAGTTTATTAATATTGAGTACAATGAATCAGGAAAATATATGAAAAATAAGAAAAAAAAATTAAATCTCATTGATCAAAGAATTGTAAAGGCATAAGAAAGTACATCAAATGCGGAAGGATGATCGGATGAAGTTAATGCTAGTGATTACATAAATTTGAAAATGGGACTACTTTTAAATCAATATTCCCGTGAAAATGAACTGAAAATACATGGAGAATAGAAAAATAAATTAAATCTCATTAATCAGAAAAATTGAAAAGGTATGAAAAAGTATAACGAACAGAGAAAGAAAGCCAAATGGAGTTAATGCTAATAATAAGAAAAATTTAAAAATAAAATTACTTTTGAATCAATGCTCCCTTAAAAGTAAACTAAAAATACATGAAAAATAAAAAAATAAATGAAATCTTATTAATGAATTGAGAGAAATTTTCATATTAATATTAGCCTAAAATTTGTTAATCAATGAGAGTCATTTTTTTTAAATGAGGCTACTCTTGAATCAATGCTTCTATTAAAGTAAATTAAAAATACATAAAAATAAAAAATTAAATTAAATCTCATTAAATACTCCTGTAAAAGTAGACTGAAAATACATGAAAAATAAAAAATAAATTAAATCTCATTAGTGAATTAAGAGAAATTTTCATATTAATATTAACATAAAATCTATTAATCAATGAGAATCAATTTTTTTGACCAATCAAATTAAAGCTACAATATTTGTGTGTGTATATATTGATATTAATGATATCATTTAAGGACCTTCTAGTGTTTTAAGTGTAAAGAAGGGTCTTAAAAAGTTGAAATATCACTTCACCTTTGACACCTATATGAAAATACCTAATTACTCTTGTAGTGTTTTGCAGATCTTGTTCCGATATAAATAATAAAACATTCGACAATGCAATTAACAAACAGATATTCAATCATAAATAAGCTACAAAAACTATTAGGCTTTGTTTAACTTTACAAGTCTTGCTCTAATATAACAATAAAACATCTAGTTATTAACAATTTACCATACATGACTAACAAAGTGACATTGGTTCATCAATAAGTTAAAAAAATTAATAAAATTAAAATATACCTAGAATTTGGAGCTGAGGTATATATAGTGCGAGGGTAGAGAATGAGATGCAATGACGTTTATCTCCTCGCATACGGCCTTTCATTTTTCCACCTTTTTTATTGCAAAAATTATGTTAAAAGTCCCCACAAAAAATTTAATTATCACAACCCTTAATTGAATTGTTAATGAATTTTATGATCATTATTTTTTATATAGGATTTGTATGTAATTTTTTTTTTATTTCATCTCACATCACGTGACAACCAATAAATGATCAACCTTTTTTTTTTAATTTGACAATTTCTCGTATGTTATATGGGTTAAAATTAAAAACTTTAAGATAAATATTATTAGTATTATTAATATTGACACATTTAAGATGGTTAAATTTTTTAAAATTTATTTATTCAATTATTTTTTTTTCTTGAATACTTTATTTGTATACATTTATCTTTATTTCTCGAACTTATAATGAAAAACTAATTAGAAAATACATGTTCTTATAGTGTTTAGAGAATATTAGCTCGAAATAAATCTTTTTTAAAATTTTCAATAGCCCCTCATTTTTTATTACATAAAAAAAATTAGACATTGGTTTATAAATTATGACATAAATTATATTTTCATAACTATGGAAAAGAGAGAATTCAAAGGAATCCCTCTCTTTTTTTTTTTACTGTCTTCAATTCTTCTTCTTATCTTGTCAGTGCGGAATATATGGTGAAATATCAACAGTTTGCAAGGCTAAGACCACGGGATAATAATTGATGATTTAAATCAACTTAAACATCTTTTTATTTTCTTTTTAAGAAAATGTTTATGGATGATAGTTGATGAAAGTTTATTAATATTGAGTACAATGAATCAGGAAAATATATGAAAAATAAGAAAAAAAAATTAAATCTCATTGATCAAAGAATTGTAAAGGCATAAGAAAGTACATCAAATGCGGAAGGATGATCGGATGAAGTTAATGCTAGTGATTACATAAATTTGAAAATGGGACTACTTTTAAATCAATATTCCCGTGAAAATGAACTGAAAATACATGGAGAATAGAAAAATAAATTAAATCTCATTAATCAGAAAAATTGAAAAGGTATGAAAAAGTATAACGAACAGAGAAAGAAAGCCAAATGGAGTTAATGCTAATAATAAGAAAAATTTAAAAATAAAATTACTTTTGAATCAATGCTCCCTTAAAAGTAAACTAAAAATACATGAAAAATAAAAAAATAAATGAAATCTTATTAATGAATTGAGAGAAATTTTCATATTAATATTAGCCTAAAATTTGTTAATCAATGAGAGTCATTTTTTTTAAATGAGGCTACTCTTGAATCAATGCTTCTATTAAAGTAAATTAAAAATACATAAAAAATAAAAAATTAAATTAAATCTCATTAAATACTCCTGTAAAAGTAGACTGAAAATACATGAAAATAAAAAATAAATTAAATCTCATTAGTGAATTAAGAGAAATTTTCATATTAATATTAACATAAAATCTATTAATCAATGAGAATCAATTTTTTTGACCAATCAAATTAAAGCTACAATATTGTGTGTGTATATATTGATATTAATGATATCATTTAAGGACCTTCTAGTGTTTTAAGTGTAAAGAAGGGTCTTAAAAAGTTGAAATATCACTTCACCTTTGACACCTATATGAAAATACCTAATTACTCTTGTAGTGTTTTGCAGATCTTGTTCCGATATAAATAATAAAACATTCGACAATGCAATTAACAAACAGATATTCAATCATAAATAAGCTACAAAAACTATTAGGCTTTGTTTAACTTTACAAGTCTTGCTCTAATATAAACAATAAAACATCTAGTTATTAACAATTTACCATACATGACTAACAAAGTGACATTGGTTCATCAATAAGTTAAAAAAATTAATAAAATTGGTTTAATTTTACAAGTCTTATTCTAATATAAACAACAAAGCATGAGACTATTGACAAATTATGATATGTAATTAACAAGCAGTCATTTATTCATGAATAAGTTACAAAAACTAATAGACCTAATTAATTTCATAAGTCTTATTCTGATATAAATAACAAAACATACGATTATTGACAAGTCATCATTTGACTATAAACAAAAAACCAGGCTTATTAGTTTTTTATAATATATTTGTGAAAAAATATCCGTTTGTTAATTATGCATGGTAACTTATTACTATTTGAATACTTTGTTATTTATACTGGAATAAGACCTGAAAAATGCTATAGGCATAATTAGATATTTCACCCCAACATCTTATATTTAGACATGTCTCATTGTGCAGCGATGCTGTAGACTTTTAGACAAAAATCACCTTGGTAGTGGATATTGACTCCATGGCTATTTTGTTCTTTTCTTTTCAAAGACCTGAACAAGCATAATTATTTTGTTCGTTCAGCAAAAAAAAAATTATTTTGTTTCTAAACCTTGTAATACTTTAACACAACTACTAGTACTTGTTCGTACGTGGAAAAAAGAAAAGGACCGGTATTTTATAATGTAACAGATGGATGCACGCTTCAGCCTTCATGGCTATTTTGTTCTTTTACTTTTTCTTTTTTTTTGGCGTGCGTGATAGCTTTCGATATCCCAACTCACAAATGCGGGATTAGACTAACTCGGACTGAGATTGGGTTGGCCCATATTGAGGGAAGCCTCTACCACACCTCTCTTAAGAGATTTATCATGTTAACTGCATTTTTAAAATTTAAACTTGACATCATTGATTAAGTTAGGATGACCTCGCATGTGGACCTAAATGTTGTTTTGTTTGTTTAGCCAAAGAAACATATTATTTTGCTTTTAAACCCTGTAATACTTTTACACAGGTACCAGTATTTTTTTCGTTCCTGGCAAAAAAAAGAAGAAAAAGTACCAGTAGTTTATAATGTAATAGAAGACACGCGTTATCAATTCACGCAACAGTGATACTCTTAAGTGAAAAACTTCATCGAATCTTTACTTTTATATCAATCAATACACACAAGTGGATGTTGGCAGCATTTCAGACATGGAATGATAAATTTAAAAAATGAGTGGCACAAGATTAATCGATGGGTCAATCTCTTAGCTTACAAAAGTTTTAACAAGAATTTTAATATTATCTCATTTAATAGCACTCGTGAATACAGGAGGGTCTTGCTTCAGATCATTCACTCTAACCTTTTAGTTACCACGAGAAAACACATGCACGCATGTAATCACTCATCAAATTCAGGGTATATAATTTGAAAAGTAAAACAACAATTTAATTTGGTAAGATCATGAACCTGTAATTCGGCTGCATTTGCAGTTGCAAGAGCCAATCGTAACTTGTACGTCCCACCTCCCATCACGTCGTCTAGCTTGAACTTAATTTGCCATGTCGTTCCTTGGTAAGTTCCATCATCTTTCTTCCTGCATTTGATTCATCAATATACCAACTTTTCGATATGAAAATGACGTTTTTTTTTTTGAAGCTATCTATATATGTTCCTTAAATAAAGCAACTCTATGTAGGCTTACGGAACTAGACCTGGTGACTTGTGCGAAGAACCAGTCTTTCCCATATTCACTCTCACCGACTGTATAAACCAGGTCTTCCTTTGGGTATAGATCTGTATATCTTTCCCACAAGCCATACTGTCTAAACTGCAAATGTGGTTAACAAAAAGTTCATAGCGAATCTTGCAACTCCGAGATTAAATTTATGTGAAAAGTACTGTAAACACTGCTTATTTTTCGCAGCTTCTTTACAGGAAGGCCTTGCATATGTAAAAGCCTTCTTCGTCGGTCAGGTCTTAAAATTCATTTATTTTTATTCTTTTGCCCATTCGGATATAATTCACTAATTCCTCCTTTCTCTCTTTCACCCTTATCACATGCTGTCTCTGTGCTTAAAAAAAAAAAGAGACGAAGAGGATAAAGGCGAGAAATGAGGAGGAAGCAACCGCGGCGGAGCTTGAGACTGACAAGATGCAGGTAGAGGCTACTAACGATGCAGAAGAGACCAAAACCAAACTCATTAAATCATCGTAAATTCTCGTAAGTACAAAAAAAACCTCCGTCCTTTTCTTTGACGTTATTAAAAAATCCGATGTCTTTTATTTTTGTTTTTAAATATAGCGAGTTAGTTTATGTCGTTATTTCCATCTGAATTGGCCAGGACACTGTGCAGCCAGGATTAAACAAGCGGGGAACAAAAACCAAATGAAGTAGCACAAAAATGGAACATTGTAAACAGTTCGTGATCTCTCCATTAGTGAAGTTCTTTTTGTTGAATTTGGTCTACTGCTCAAACATAGCACTAGTTAATTTTCATTTTAATTCTCTTATGAAGTTGAACCAGAGGATTGTGGGCTTTCAAAGCGTATATAGTCATACATGATCCCTTCGAGGGGACCAGTGGCACTAGCCTGCGTGAGATAAAAAGTATTATCGCCTTTTATCAGAAGACGACCCGATACGTCAATGCTGTATAGTCTGTAGAGTCCATGGATTCCATGCCTGGCAATTGTGTTGTCCTTTCCGACCAAACCACTCGTGAATACAGGAGGGTCTTGCTTCAGATCATTCACTCTAACCTTTTAGTTACCACGAGAAAACACATGCACGCATGTAATCACTCATCAAATTCAGGGTATATAATTTGAAAAGTAAAACAACAATTTTAATTTGGTAAGATCATGAACCTGTAATTCGGCTGCATTTGCAGTTGCAAGAGCCAATCGTAACTTGTACGTCCCCACCTCCCATCACGTCGTCTAGCTTGAACTTAATTTGCCATGTCGTTCCTTGGTAAGTTCCATCATCTTTCTTCCTGCATTTGATTCATCAATATACCAACTTTTCGATATGAAAATGACGTTTTTTTTTTTTTGAGCTATCTATATATGTTTCTTAAATAAAGCAACTCTATGTAGGCTTACGGAACTAGACCGGGTGACTTGTGCGAAGAACCAGTCTTTCCCATATTCACTCTCACCGACTGTATAAACCAGGTCTTCCTTTGGGTATAGATCTGTATATCTTTCCCACAATCCCACAAGCCATACTGTCTAAACCTGCAAATGTGGTTAACAAAAAGTTCATAGCGAATCTTGCAACTCCGAGATTAAATTTATGTGAAAAGTACTGTAACAGTGATCTGAGCAAGATGAAATCCGTCTCAGTGATTAACATCAGAGTGTACATCGCCCTATATAATAACACTGACATAAGCTAATTATAATATAATAACTGAGTTTTCAAATAAAGTTTGTCTGCTGAAGAAACCTGTTCTTTGGCATCCTCCCAGAGCCATAATTTGTCTTGATCATTCAACAAAGCATTCAGATACACAAAGATTGGCCCGAATACTTTCTTCCAAGGCTCATTCGGTTTGAGTTTTAGAACTAGATCCTCGCCAGCATAATGAGCACTTAAAAACATCTGTCACACAACGCCAAAAAAAAAAAAAAAAAAACAGGGCAATGCATTTTGATTCATTTCATGAAATCTCAACAATAAATAAACTATGCAGAAATTAAATGCCCATTAACTGATATCTGTTATGCAGCCTTACAGCGAGGCTGATGGGGCCCACATGAGAGGTAAGGTTCTGTTTAACAGGTCCCCCTGATCGGAATTCATTGCTAGACATGATTACCCAGAACCCCATGGGAGGTTCAGTTTCTTGTTCAGAGCTAATCCACCCATGCACCTTCAGATCTTTGTTGTCACTCGAGTATTGGTACTTGTCATCCACCTAAGTCACCCAATTAGTAAATTCTACTAATCACAGAGAAACATAACTGCTCTTCTTCTTCTTGTTTTTTAATCAATAATCAATCAATAAATAAAGAAACATGTTGGGGCAAAAAAAAAAAAAAAAAGAAGAAGCACTACCTCCCCCTTGAACTCTGGCTCTACAGGATTCACAAGTAAAACTGCTTCTGGGGTGGCCAGTTCTTTACCTCTTCCAGGTAATCTATCGTCTGGAAGAGGCATGAATCTTTGCCTGTTATGCGCCACGGCCATGTAATGATACCTATACGAGTGACATATATTTGAATAGTAGTGAAAAGATCATGGTAAATGTATATAAAAGGTTACATGACAAATAAAATACCTGTCTTTCCTCAGTTTGAAGACGATCCTGATCTGGGGTATGTTAAAAGCGGGCCACTCTTTTAGGTGTTCAAAAATGGCGTATGAGTAGAAGCCTGAGGAATCTCGAAGCATGACATACCTGCAGCACATCATGGTAGTTAATGTGATTGATTATCATGATATCACTGTATTCACAATTATTGAGCAATAAATTCAATCAAGCATAGACCTTTTATCTATATTCAATGGCGAAAGCTTTCCCTTCAGAGATGGATCCCACATTCTTGTAAACGAGATCTCCACCTGTTCCTCATTTTCAATTATTACACTAAAACTTGTTCCGACGACGCTGCAACCATAGCCATATTCGTCAGTGCCACCTGAGCTAATAACTATATACATCCTTAATCGGAGTAAGGGAAGAATGAGTAAATGATATTACTTTTCCTAATTTCATCTTAATTTCTACGTTCTTTTGATTTTATGGAGTGCGGAAGTGAGAAGATGCAGAATCGAAGAGGCAAAATTTACATACCGCTCGAATGTGCCAGTAGTTCCCGTACTGCCTTCTTCGCTCCAGACGACGTCCCAATATCTAAAAGTTCATTATTTCGAGTAAAAAAACTCAAAATACTGAAACTAGCAGCGTGATGATTGAGGAAAAAATAGAAGAAAAACAGGGTATAAAGCTGTTTGTGTTCTGTGTACCCTCTGTTATCTCTTCGGTTAAGAATCTCAAGCAGATTATCAATGCCATTGTATTGAATTCTAGTGACAAATCCTCCCGGTTTGGATAAATACACTTTCACTATGCCATTGTCCATCACCACCTAAAACTCAGATAATACATCAGCGTCTCAAGCAACTTGATTTGCCATAAAATATCAAAAAGTTGAAAGAAGTAGTAGTTTATTACATGACTGTCTCCTATATACAGCTGCACTCCTTGTGTTGACATGGTGAAAGGATCGATCTTCGCTCGACGCAAAATATCTTCAGTATCTAAGAGACCTCCTCATTAACGTAACTTTAAATGTCACGTTTTAAGGTTTCTTTTTGCTCAAGCTTCTAGTTGGTTTGGTTTTCTCCATCCAAAGGCGAAGTATTGTATCCTTTATTGGAGGTTTCATGGTTATTTCTTTACTCTGTCGCTAATGTAGCCTGGTGCGTTTTGATGTTCTGAGGAAACAAACGGTATCCAATATATGCGTGACGAGACAGGGAATGGCGAAACAAAGGAAGAAAATGACTAACTAAAATTCTATTGAAGTCAAGATCAATTTGCCTTTGGGTCATTTTCCCGTTTAAATTCCACAAATGTCACTATCGCAATTTTACAAATGCATTTGCATGAGTTTTAATGAGAAAAAAAATGTAATTTTCAAAGTATTCGTTATTAAGTTTTTATGGGAAAATATACAATACTAAGCTCATTTTTCTTTCGCCGGAATATGTAACTTCATTAAAAAACGAACGAACTGGCATGAGCAAAACCGAAGTTACCCCTTACATTTAATTTAAGAATATCTGTCTTTTCTATGAAGCAAAATTCTCTCTCTTCTGAACTTGGAAGTGAGAACTTCATCTTTTATTGGGGGACAAGAGAGAAGATATAATAAATTTATGAAGGGAAAGAATAACTGGACGAGAAAAAACAGGGAGAGCGACAGATCGTAACTTAACTTCAAATAGAGGATAGAATAAAATAAGCTGAACTTCCGAGGGTTGAAGGACTTACAGTACAATCTTGATTCACTTGTTTGGCACATAATGTTGAAACTTACTATAACTTACGAAAATTAATTGACTAAATGGGCAAAGCCATTAATGGATTAAGTAAATGTAATGCTGACCAAAGGCCCGAGGTGTCCCGGCGTGATAAGAATTGTTCTCACATATACATACATATATACATAAAGCTACATATGTTTGGCATGTGATTTCCCGTTGCTGGTTAGATGGAAAAATATAGGCAGAGAATTGTGCAAGCTGTTTGGCATGTGATTTTCTGTCAAGAGCACAAATTTAATGTCTGTTAGAGAGGAAAAAAAAAATTAAGGCAGAACTTGCAATTCTCAAGAAGGTTATTCAAGCATAGGATCAATAAATTGAATTTTATATAAAAAAGATTTGAATAAATGTATTATTTATCGAATATTCTTGACCAGTATCATCTATTACTATCATTACTAGTTTCAGAAGATGGCCCTTCTAAACGAATATAATCATACAAAATCCCTTGAAAAGGACTCGTGTTTCTTGCTTGCTTTAGAAAGAAGGTATTATTCCCCTGCAAAAGAAGAGTGCCTTGTACATCAATGTTGAACAGCCAGTATAGCCCATGAATCCCATGTCTAGCTATTGTGTTCTCCTTTCCAATCACTCCACTTGAGAACAAGGGAGGGTTTGCTTCCAAGTCATTCACCCGAATCTAACAACAAAAACGAAACCAACAAAATAAGCATGAAGAGTTATGATGCTATGAGCTCTGTGGAAAAATTTGGTATGAAGTGATATACTTGCAGCTCAGCAGAGTGCACAGATGCCAGAGCCAATCGCAATTTGTAGGTTCCATTCGTATTTACATTATCAAGTTTGAAATTAATTTGCCACGTGGTTTCTTGGTATGTGTCGTTATCTATCTTCCTGCACAGTGAAAACAATCTGTGGTATACAGCCAAAGGGACAATATTTGCACTGCACTTAAAAAATTAAAGCCAAAGAACAAAGAACACAGACATAAAAAAGCAACTAGACTTTAGCCACTAGGTATAATCTAAAGGTTACCACCAATATCTCCCCCTATTCATATTTCATACATTCAAGCAATTAAAAAACGAATGGTACTGGAAAAAAAAAAAAAAACTGTGCATGGGACTTATATTACAATTATACTCACTTATTACTTTTCCTCTGTCTCACTTTCAATGCTGTCTTTAGCTGCATTTTACAGCTCTTCATTGAAAATTTGGAAGATGGAGTGGAAGAGAATTACCTATTAACTTGAGCAAAAACCAATCTTTTTTGTAGTCACTGATTCCTATGGTGTAGACCAAGTCTTCGTTTGGATACAATTCTGCATACCTCTCCCACAAACCGTATTGCCTATACCTGCCTGCCAACTTTAGGGACTGTGATACACATTTCTCCTTTTTACAGGGTCAAAAGAAGGTTTCAAGTGACAACAATGAACCAACGTTCATAACCCTCAGAGAAATAAATAAAGCATTCTACAGTAAAATAGGTGAGATATACTGGCTGTTTAATATAACTATTATTTGAATTGGCAAGGAAACTAACCTATCTGGATGATTGACATAAAG